ATAATATTAATGATATTATTTTAATTATTGAAAAATCAAAAAAATTAAAAGAATTAAAAATAGAATCGGAAAAAATCAATGATAGTTATACAGATTTTATTATTGATAAGTGTGTAGAATACTTACGATTAAATCAATTACTTTTAAAATTAGGAAAAGCAAATATAATTGAAATGAATAATCTTTATTAATAATATTTATTCTTATTTAAATACTAAAATTTTATTATGTTAAATAAATAAATTCAATCATGATACTCCCTAATGAAATATTATTTGTTATCATTTTATTTCTTTCTGACATGGATAAAAATTTATTCAGCTATCTTTTTATTTCAAGAGATTGGTGTAGAATTATTATTCCATTTCTTTAGAAAAATCTATTTGATTATCGTATCACAACTGAAGAATATTCATTAATGAAAATCATTTATCAAGAATTAAATTCTTATAAACAAGATATTTTTATTAAATATTTAAATCTTAAAGAAATATATCCAAAAAATAAAACACCTACTATTTTTCCGTATCTTGAATATATACAAGAAATAAACACTTTTCAAATAGAAAAAACATTTCAATATTTTCAATTAACCACAATTGTGATTGAATTATTTTTTAATTCGTCAAATATTATTAATTATATTTATTTAACTAATATTAATCATTTTGATATATTAAACAAATATATGAAAAATCATAAAGTTTACGTATCAATATATAAAATAAATTTAAATCGTTTTAAATTTGATTATATTAATAATTTAATTGGTTTGACAATAAGTAATATGAATTTTTTTAATAATGATTATGATTTTGATAATATTTTAGATATTAAACATCTTTCATTAATTAAATGTAATAACTATAATACTGTTAATAATATTATTAAATTAAAAAATCTTGAGGTTTTAGTATTAAAATATACATCTTTTACTATTGATCATATTAAAATCTTTATAAAAGCATTTAAAAAGTTAACATATTTAAAAATAGTTTCTAATGATATTATTAATGATGAATATATAGAAAATATAAATAATGAATGTATTTTACATCAAAATCTTAAAAAACTTAAATTACAATCTGAAAATTCTGAAACTCCTTTAAAGGAAATATTTTATTTTAATAATTCTTTTATAAAAATTGGCATTTAATTATTTTAATAAATTTTTTAATATGGATTTAAATATTAAAAAATTTTTTACTATCGTTTTACTTGAATTAAATAAAATTAAAAACTTGGATTTTACAAATGGTGATGTAGTATCAAAACAATATCAAATAATAATATCAACACTTCCAAAATTAAAAAAAATAAGTAATGGATTAAAATTAAATAATGATAATAATATAATAAATTGTTTAGAAGATATTAATTTATTAAGTATAGATAATATACATGAATTCGATAAACATATTTTGGAAAAAATAAATAATGTTGAACAAATTTTAAATAAATTTATTAATAAATCTTAAAAAATTTATTGATTTTGAATTTCTAAATACATCTTAAAAAAATTATAATTATTAGTATATTCATATAATCATCATACTTAAGATTCAACGATTTTAAGCTAATCCTAATAGGAGCCAACTTAATGCAGGCTATTAGAATTCTTAAAATCCTCTCATCTAATAAACAATCTTTCAGAAGGCGATTATTTTGCAGGAATTCCATACACAAAATCTCACTCCTTCTAGCATAATCAGAATGTTTATATATTATATATGTTATACTAGTAAAATTATTTACCTTTTCATTTTTAATAAAAGAATTCATTTTTTTTTTCAATTTAATTTATCAAATACATGAATTAAATACTATTTTTATATTTTTTAATATTAATAATAAAAATATCATAATATATTTATTAAATAAAAATAATAAAAACAAATATGTTAAAATTTAAATGATAATAAAAATAAAAAAAAAAATAATTATTATTATATTAATTTATACTAAAAAATCATTAAATTCTTCTTCATCTTTTATATTTTCAACATTATTAATATTTTCATTATATATTTCTCCATAATGAAAATTTTCAAAAGTTACATATTTATAAAATAAATTTCTAAATGTATCTATATTTATAAAATTACTAATAAACAATATAAAATTTAACGATTCTTCATTTTTTTGTTTAAAATAATCTCTTTCATATTCAATTCGAATAATATCATCATGTGTTTCTTCTTTTAATTTTTTAATTTCATATTGATACTTTTCATCAATTTCTCTATTTTCATTATTTAATAACATATTTTCATTTTGATAATTTGCAATAATCTTACAATTATTTTGAATATTATTTTCATAATTATTTTTTTCACTTTCATATTTTTGACGTAATTCTTCAATTATTTTTTTTTCATCATTCAATATTGAATTTTCATATTGCCAGTTAGCAAGAATTTGAGAATCTACTTTAATTTTTTCTTGTAATTCTTGATTTTCTTTTTGTAATCTTTTAATTTCATTTTGCATTTCTTTATAAATTTTATTATTTTCTTCATATTTTCTTTCATGTTCAAATTTAACTTCTTCAAAAATTTTATTAAAAGTAACAGTTTTAATAGACATGATTATTATTGTTTAATATTTTTCTTTATTCATTTTTAATCATAAATTCAAGTACACGGAAAACCAAGTTAATGATGGCCAGACTCAACATACAGAGCAGGCTATGGTACTCTTCACAGCTGTGAGAGCCGAGCATATAGTGAGCGAATCTACAGAAGAATCTTCCACTTCCTTGAATCCCATTTCATCATCAAACATCAAGGAAGCCTTACAAG